ATATCTTAGTTTATTTAATCGAGTCTTATCCCCAAGTTTTGTGTTTATCCCTCGGAATAGATACAGGGTTTGAGGTAAAGCGTTCTTTCATTTAAACTATGAAAAATATGGGATCAGTTTGATTTTCATATTTAATTTTAAAACTTAAATCTATATGTAAATTAAAACGTCCTTTCGAAGCGGGCAACGGGATTTCGATTCCGGTGACCGACAGTTTATTACGGGAAACAACAACACAACACCCCCACCCACATTTTATCGCCGACAGACTTCCATCTTAGAGTAGAATTTATTCACACTCGGCCATAATCCAATATTATCTTTTGTCCCACTGATAAACCCTTTGTTGAGGCGATTGTTGGTTATATTGGTATTGTTGCTGTACAAACTTTTGTTGTTCAGGCGGATGAAAATTCTGCTATTATTGTGGCTGCAACAATCACTCAGGTTTAATTTGCATTAGTTGTTTCCCTTTGTCAACTATAGAAACAATCCCTAACTTCTTCTCGAAGATTTTGAATGGCTTTGGTTTATCCGTCTTCTCGGGAATAGAGGTCTTTTTGATTTCCTCTTGAAAGTTCGCCACATTGCTTAACAACTTTTTGAAAATCTTGATCATGAATCCATTGAAGCATGAAGGCCATCGGTCCAGGGATAGTCAGCGATAATGGAATCACTTCTCTCTCCAACTTTAAAATTTTAATAGCGCTTAGGGAGTTGAAAGCGCACAACGTCTTGCAATTCTTTAAAAATAAAGTCGTCTACTGATTCGGTGTCCCTCGAAGGATAATCTCTGACAAAAGCATTGCATTCAAGAATACCAAAATCAACAACTTCATTTGAAGATACGGTATAGATTGGAGGTACCCAACAATCTACTATCCGAAAGTTAATGGTCTTGCATAAGCCTTCAGCAAGACGCTAGTCCAGATTTTGAAGAAAACCCTTGATGGCAATAAGAGACAATAACACAAATAATTGTCAGAGGCTCTGTGGATCTACCCAACAACTTACAAGATGTTGGATCAGTGTATTGCATATGCTCTAATGTATGCGAGCTCGAGGTGGAGCTCCCATCACTTAGAATCACCATAGCCAACAAAATAATAGATGAAAAAAATGTAAAGCTCCACCTCTAAGAAGTCGATAGCTTGGAAGGCAAGCGCCTGAGGGCTCAACAAAGTCTGTCAATATATCAAGAACAAAGTCTGTAAATATATCAAGCAAAGATGATCCAAGCACATGATAGATTGTTTGGGCTGCGAACTTTCAAAGTTAGTGACTTGGTGATTGTATTGTGAGGGCCTATTCTTGCACAACGCAAGATAGAAGGCAAATTCAAACCGATTTGGGAGGACCTTTTGTTGTTGAAAAAGTAAATTCTAGAGGTTCCTATTAATTTGTCAACTCCCAAGGAGAAAGATAAATACTTCCAATCAACGGTGGTTGAAAAAGTATATTCTGGAGGACTATTTCCTATTTTAGTTGGATTACATCAATGATCGGAATTAAGCCCATATATTTTTTTCTTTAGTTATGGATGCTCTTACTGGACATTTACAAGAGGATGTACCTTAGTGTATGTTTTTCACTGATGATATCCTTCTTGTAAATAAGACTAGACAAAGAGTTTAGAAAAAACCTAAATTATGGAGGCCTACATTAGAGTCTAAAGGCTTTCGTTTAAGTAGAGATCTAAAACTGAATACATGAAATGTAATTTTAGTAGTAGCAGATCTAGCGACAGAGTTGTAACTATGGGTAATCAAATCATTAAAAGGTGTGAATATTTTCGATACCTCAGGACTATCGTTCAAAGTGATGGTGATAAAGATGAGGTTGTTATTAGCAGACTTCAAGTAGGTTGGTTCAAGTGGAGGACTGCATTGGGTTTATTGTGTGATAGAAAAATACTGCTTAAACTTAAAGGAAAATTTTATAAGATGATGGTGAGACCTGGAATGTTTTATGGCGCGGAATATTGGCCTTTAAAAGAGAAGCATAAAACTAAGTTATGTGTTGTTGAGATAAGAATGCTTAGGTGGGGGTGAGTGGCTTGACACAGAGATAAAATACGAAATGAATGTATCCGTGAAAGGGTTGGTGTAGCTCCAAGGGCAGACAAGTTTAGAGAGAGTCATCTTAGATGATTTGTTCACATTAAATGTCGACCATCAGATGATTCAGTTAGGAGAGTAATTGTTTTAGATTTGACTTATTTTAAGAAAGGAAGAGGTAGACCTAAAAAGACTTTGGCATATTGTATAAAAAGTTATCTTAATTTATTAGAATTAAATGAAAGGGGAAATTACATACAGACCACCCGAAACTTGCTATTTATAAATCAACCACCCTCTTTCATCCATTTTTCAAATTCTCACTCAAATATAAAAATTCATGGTAAAACCCCAACCCATATATTTCATTTTTATCGAAGTATCAATAGTTTGATTGTAGCACACGTAAATACATTGATTTGGTGGTTCAAAAAAATCACTTGGGTGGTTAATTTGTAAATGTCAATGTTTCTAGTGGTGTGTATGTAATTGTTCCTTAATGAAAATATAACACTCGATAAGACACAATGGAGAAAAAGGATTCATGTAGCCGATCACAAATAGTATGATAAAGTCTTGTTATTGTTGTTGTATAAATGAATAAATAAAATCACTGTCAATCTTTTTTTTTTTTTAAGAGGCTTAAAAAGGGAAATTTTGAGTTAGCATTATTTTGGCATCATAAATATTACATTGGAGGCTAAGAAGGTAAGAATTCATAAATTTATAAAACTCTTATTTTAAACTCAATCTTGTTGGTAGTACTATGGAGAATCCAGGCCCTATTGGTAGTGGTAGCATCGTTTAGGATAGTAATGGTGTGCTTATTATGCCTTTTGTTATTCCTTTGGACATTCAAAATGTTTTTAGAACTCAGCTGCTAACTCTTATACATGGGCTTGAGAAAGGACATAACAAAGTTTAAATTGTGACAGATGTCTGGCCTCATTCATACTGTATCTCTAATAAAATAGCAAACTTTAGCAACTTCTACTTGATTAGAAACGAGAGAAACATGTTACAAAGTTAGAATTTCCGGCTGACTCACAACCATATTGTGCTGATAAGCTTGTTAATAACGAGACCAATTTAATTGCTAACATTGCATGCGTCAATTATGAAATAACATCCAAACTGAAAGAAAATATCCTTCTGAAACTCTAATTGTTTCATTACCCATAACGGCTTGGCTGTTCCTCATTACTTCAGTTTACTGAATATGATTTTGGACTTATTATTATAACCTTTTACTGGAAATATTATTGTATATTTCTTCATTCTTAGTCATCTTCATGCATATCTATGTAAGAGGTTTTGTGATTTGTTGGGCTTCGCATCTCAACTTACCCCCTTTCTCTTATCTTGAACATAATGATTTTGGTGGAGAAAGAGACCGTGGTTGCATTGTTTCGGCTCCTCAGTCCTGTTTTTGCTTTTGGTCAGGCATATGAATGTGTTTCTGATTGCCTGGATAATAAATTTTACAATTTCTATACATGAATTTTCGCAAATTGTGCTTACCAACATTGAAAAATTAATTTCCGAGCATTCCTTGAGCCATTGGCTATTGATGGGCTTTATTTCACTTCTAAGATTTGGTTTTAAAATAAAAGAATTTTTGTAAGCAGCCTTGATTCTATCTAGATGGTCTACAATATTTGAACTATCTTCAAAGACCTGTCATAAAACAATTGAGGGGTCTCGCAAATGGGGCTTCAACTTATTAGTTTATATATTTTGGCTTGTAATCTATTTGCCTACTTTTGTAGCCGAAGTTTATCAAAGCATTTTCTTCATGCACAGTCAAAAGAAATTGTGAAATATGGATCTTCCTTGATCTATGAAAAGTGCAAGTAATTGAATTCTTCAATTTAGAAAAAAGATCATTAAAGAATAACTAACATTAAGTTCTCTTTTTATTGCAATAAAAATATCATGAATGCTTTCTTAATTTAAGAGAATTCTCCTTCTTATTTAGGAATCCCTTTCATTGCTTTCCTTATCTAAAAGGATTACCTCAATGAAGGCATTAATATTAAGAGGACCCCTCTTGATGGATGTCCATGGTTATTTATTTTATTAATGTTTGTATATTCTATTATTGAATTATAGAACGCATAAGGATTGAAATAATGTTAATGAATATGAAGAATATAAGCATTATAAGCAGCAGTCCTTCCTCCTAGCGTGGTCGTTAGTCTCCCTCTCTCCTCTTGCTTTTCCTAGTTCTCTTGTTCAAGTTCCATATTCTCTTTCCCCATTCTCAGTCCTCATAGACCAATTCCTTTTCACTGTTTATTTAAGCATTCAAGAAAAATACAGAATTCCACATTCTCGTCATTAAATTGCCTTTAAAATCATGAGAAGGCAATTTTTCACGTGATAAAAATCCACCAGACTCCTTGATAGTAACTAGTATTCAACATTGGAAACATGAAGCAAAACTGCAAAGCAAAAATAAATATAGTTTTCACCACAGCATCAATATATAGAAGATCTTAGCACAGAAACAGTGTGACATAGAACATTATGGAAAACCTAGAGGAACCAAAATGACTGCAATCCAAAAATAATCCATATTTTAATACAGCTAAACATGGCCTTGTTTTAAATTTTAAATGATATAAAATGATACAAAATAATAAATGAATACAACATTTAAAAAAATCTATGTCAATACAACATTTTTGATATGCTTCAGCAAAACAAAAATTAAAAAAATAAAAGACTCGAACAAAATTATAGGCTCAACTACATGGTATGTGGCTTGAGCAATGCAAATTAATGTAATAGTATGTTTTGCTAGCATAATGGTTCCAGAGCATCATGAAACAATTTAAAATGCAGAGAGCATGTTGCTATTCTGAGCACCTTCATTCGACCTTGATGCAGTAAACAAGGCAACATTTTTCTAAATAAGAACATAACGTTGCAAGGGCATACCTCCAAACAGCGTTCCAAAAGCTGCCTACTTCTAGCATAATCTCCATTCCTATAATGTCCAACGGCTAAGAGATACAACTTCTCTCTCGTTTGTAGTGGGCTGTTAGAACTATCCAAAGAAGCTGTGATATAGCAATAATGTTAACCATAATGGGTAGTCCGACGATAATTGCAATAACCCAAAAAACCACGTATAGAGAGTAAGTGAAGAGTTAGCCATAAATATATAGATGGAAAATTAGTAATTGTTATATGACCTTCAAGCATGGCTATCCCGCGATTTACATCTTCAGGTTGCCTAGAATGAACAAGAGCCCAAGACAATCTCACAAGGCTTTCATTCTTATGCTCAGCATTTCTTGCATTAGCAACCTCGTCTTCACAACCCTGAAAAAAACAGCCCAAATGAACCTAAATAGCTTTGTGAATGACATCAGTTGGAAAGCCTTCAAAAATGATTATGCTGCCAGTCTCTCAAGAAAATTTTAGATATTTGAAATATGATGCTCAATTCTAATCCTTATTGTTTTTCTATTACTTCAAATATCCATCAAAATAGAAAATCAATTTTAGTAACTGCTGTTTGAACCAAAGCCTTGTACATTCTCTCTATGGCAAGACAATTATGATTCCACAATTACTGAGTTCATGCAGCATGCAGATCAAATCAAAAATAAAAAGACAATAACAAAACTGCAAAAGTTATCTATAGCTTTACCATTAAGCCTTTGACATTACTGCATATCATTAAGAAGGAAGTCTGAGAAATAGAAACAGAACTACAGAAATATATGGCTTATATAGACATGCATTGAAAACACTAGAAACATAAAAAAGATAACAATGTTCATAGGTATATGCATTCAATGTACATGACTGATCAAAGCGCTCTAATGAAACAGAGGGGCCAACAGAGCTTACATATATTAAAGTTATTCAAAGGAACTAAACAATTTTTGTGCAGAGAAGTCAAATGGAAAAATTAGGACACCTAAAAGTTCAAGCATACCCAAATTCTCCATGGTAAGGTTCTTAAAAGACACAAAATATTAAAATATAGAACTCAAAAAAAGAACTTTTCGTTTTAGAGTTCATATTACAAACATTTAAATTGACATAAAGGAATTGTATCAAAAAAGGAAATATCTAAGCACGTCATGCGTCAAAACACAACAGGATCTCCATAGCACTGATTTGAAATAAAAAATCAAATAGCAAGCTTAATAAAGCATCTCATATCATATCATTAAAAAGTAATCTCCAATAAAATATGAAATTTCCAATAACATTTTACCCATTTAATAATGATGACGCCTCAATAACATTTAATCAAACAACCCCTACTAGCGATTTTATATGTAACTTCCAAATTTCAAAAATAGTAAATTCAAAGGGCAAATCTTAAAATATTTGAATGACAAAAGCATCACCACTCCATCTCCAAACAAAATGACCTCTTTTAATGAAATAATATACTGATTATTTGAATTAGATTAATTGAATTATTGAAGGTATGAATATATCTGTGATGCATGTTAAAAATCCACGCATGTAGAAGCACAACAAGACGGAAGCCAACTCGTATATTAGAGCTGCTGAACAAGCTCTAAGATTCTAATATATAGCACCAGTCACTTGTCAACTACAAGTATAATCCAAATTAAAACTGCTCCTTTGCAAAATGGAATATTCAGAGGCGTCTGTTTGGCACCAACTATTCAATAAACTTAGGTTAATCATGATAAATAATCTAACCGCTCAACCCATCAAGTTACATTGACGTCTCAATAAAATTCAACAAAGAAACCTCTAAAACTAAAATATTTTAAATGTAGCTTCTAAATTTTGCAAATAATAGTGTCAGAGGACAAATCTTAAAATATTTGAATGAAGCAAACATCAACACTCCACCTCCAACCACAATGACATCTACAACGATGTTATCTAGTAATTATTTTGTTTATTGAGGGTATAGTTGAATAAATTAATGGTGTGCATTAAAAATCCAAACATGCGGAAGCACAGCAAGTGGGAAGCTAGCTTACATATTAGAGCTGCTGAACATCCTGTAAAAATTCTAATATATATCACAAATCACCTGTTGACTATAAATGCAATCCAATTAAAAATGCTCATTTGCAAAACAAAAAATTCAGGGACTGTCAGTTTGGAAACAATTAATCGATTAGCTTAAGTTAATCGCGGCAAATAACTTAACCAGATAAAAACAACAAAAAATAAATTAAGATCCATAGAAATAAAGAAAAATTAAGGATGTCGAGAACGCCATGTGCATACAATATCAAAACGTTTTGCAACTAGATTTTTTTCAGCTAACAGCTATAAAGCAAAACATACAAAAAACTGTAAAATCCCATGGTAAAAAAACAAGTATCAACGAAAGAAAAACGCGATATAAATCAGAATGATGAGCTATGAAGCTACATACAGAAAACGGACTTGAAATTGAAAAAGGTCTGAAGTAGGACGCCCTAATCTACACGTTCACATTGGCAAACCCCGTAACCCAATCAAAGCTGCGTAGCAGAAGCAGGAAGCTCGGGTTTTGAGAGGGGAAGAGGGAAAATTCTTACAGCAATGATATCGCGATCGCACCAGGGGATGTTATCGCCACTGCCGAAGAAGGATCCGACAGAATCGAAAAAACTCCTGATATTGGAATTCATGTCTCGTTCTTCAGTCTCCTCTCTGCAAAGGAAGCGGTAGGCTTTTTTTTTTAGTTCCACGGTAATAGTGCAGCGGAGGCTTTTTGTATGCCACACATGACTAATTCTTGTGTATTTAAGTCTTTTTTCATATGACACTATTTCTAACTTTCAAAATGTAAAATACAAATTTTCAAGATAATATGTATATAAAAAATAAAATTTTTATATTATATATATATATATATATACATACATACATGTAATTATTTAGGAATATAATGGAATGTAGGTAAATTTTCCTTACTTTTCAAAGGGAGTTCAAATTTAAATAGAATGTCAGCTTTCTATTTTGTTGCATTTTAAGATTTTCATCAAAGTTGTATTTTTTTTCTTTTTTTTTATTCCAAAATCTTTTATAGGAAAAATCCCTTCTTTCAAATAGATCTCCTAAGATATAATAGTCTTAAAAATTGAGGTTTTGGTTTGTGTAAATTCCTCTTATCTTTACAATTTTTCGTGCAGAAGTAAGGTGATCTATGTGTAAGAATTAAAATTTAGATGTTAGATATGTAGATATAGAAAATTTGATTGGTATGTTTGCAAATATTTCTTATTTTATCAAAGGTTAGCTAAAATTTAATAGAATTTATTTTTTGGTCAACTTTCTATTTTGTTGCATTTAAAGATATTCATCAAAGTTTTTTTTTTCTTTATAAAATTTTTAATGGTAAGAAAAAGGCAGAACAAAGAAAGGAATTCTTCTTTCAAAAACTTTGACTTCTCCTCACTCTAAAATACTTCCTCGCATTCTCCAATCAAATGAGAATACAAGGAATTAGACTGTCAAACAATATCTGAATTTCATTCTATTGTTACACACTTTTTTTTTCGAAATGAACAAAACTAGCGCATACTATTGTTACTCTCTCAAGTATTAAATTATTTTTTTACAAATAGATAAGTTAAAATATATTAGTCATAAAAAAAATTACTGCTCAACTTTTTGAACAAAAAAATATTTATAATACCACTTATTTAAAAAAAAATCCTTACAACAATTATATAATTACAATTACAAAAAGGAGCCATCTACTTAAACCGACCTTTAATTGAATTTATGTGTGTGTGTGTGTGTGTGTGTGTTAAATCTCAAATTATCTTCCGGAACACGCTTTGAGAATTAGAGCTAAGAGGAAAGAGAGACAAAACTCTAAAGAATCATAATCCAAAAGTGTGAGGATTTAAAAGTTCCTTTATTAATGTCATGATCTCCTATTTATAGAGGTCTCAAAATACAATTACATAAGAGAAAAAAATTATTATTATAATTGTTCAGCTATTTGAGTTGATGTGTTTGTCGAGTAAAAATTACATTACAATGTAAATTAAATTTGGCATCGTTCGTTCGACTGACGTTTAGGGTCGACCAATTGTGTCAGTCAGTTTGTCGATGTTCAGGGTAGATTGGCAAGTTCCTCTAAGAGATCTAGTAATTTGATAGTACATGTTCACTTGTTTGTGCTCTCTTGTTCGGTGGATCTGTCCATCGGAAGCTTCCATCGGTTGATTCTGCCATAAAATTGATCAGCTCCTTGCTAGTACATTTTCAATTTTTAAGTCTGAGACTTCATTCACACGCCTCTATTCCCGGCTATTCAATCTCCTCGAGATTCATGCTGCATTTTTGTAGCATACATATTATTTTTTCAATTTTCCTGCTCCTTAGTGGCGGCGGCTACAATAACGAAAAGAAAATTATCAAGTAGTAAATGGCATATAAATTGTGAAAATTAATTTAATAATTAATCCTCCTCATTTTTCTTGCCCAACAAATCCTATAAATAGGGCTTGAGTCTTTTCGCCTTGCATTTCCTTATCTGCTCTTTAGATCTTTTGATCGACACCATGACCTACAATTTGAGAAATAAGGATATGGATGTACACCTTTTAGCTTTGGGAGGCTTTCAACTTTCTGTGTTTTCTACGATGGAGAAAAAGAAAAAAATTATAAGAAAACAGAAGTGAAAGACACCCAAACCTAAGCTGGTCGACCGAGTCACCTCTTCAGACAGCTATGTCTATTAAAGGTGGACCCCCGTCTGACTTCTAGCCTGAGTATTGACGAGATTTCTGATGAAAAGCCAATGAGCTGCTCTTCCCGCTGAGGGTGGTCAGGAGGGATTGAAAGAAAAATCAGTCATCCAACCGTCCCCGCTTCCCTTGAAAAATAAAGGTGGAGGTTCTCTGGCTCAAGGAGTGGAGGAATTTTCCATTACTCTTTCTAAGAGATACAGATTTTCGGGTATGTGAAAAACAAATATTTCCTTAAACAGTTTTTAGTAGTTTTTTTTACATTGTTCTTAATGTAGATGAATCGACTATCTCGAAGGTTAGTATTGATGGCGGGCCATTAACGATCGTTATTGATTTTGCTCCAATAGTTGTGGATAGATCGACTGCTACACCTTTAACATCGATCACTACGTCTAATGTACTGACCAACCAGGTTTTATCAAGATCGGTAGATCCCTTCAGCAATTCTCATCAGGTGGATTTTGACCGCGACTTTATATATGCTTAAAAATATAAGATAAATATGGACGTAATAAATATTCAATAATTGTAAAGTCACACTTATCAACGTAAGTATATTTATCGCTCAAGTAATATAGGGCTCTAATGGAGTCATAGATATCGATCCCACAGGGAGTAAGTTTAGAACTACGAACTAAGATTTTAGAAAAAGTAATACTTCAATCACAACAACGAAGTTCAATTTGCTTATCTGTCACTAATAGGCAATTGCAATAAATATGTAATTTTAATAACTATTAAATAATGAATAATACTAATGAAGGTTTAAATTTGATATTCAATATATAAGAAAATATCATTCTCCATGTCAAGAAATTATAGTGAATTAGTTCAAATTATATTGTGCCAAATAGGAGCATACTTATTTTTAACCCTTTGGTCCAGGCATAAAAAACATTGACTAATTCTACGCTTGTTTACTGAATTTGCGGCTAGGCTGGGAGGATACCG